GCCTGGCCCTGCCCGCTCCTCGGCTCCGCGTCCAGGGCCCGGCACAGCCCTTGCGGCCGCAGCTCACCCGCGCAGCAGGGCCGGGGCTCAGGCAAGGCTGGGACCCGGGTTAGAAACCTCCCGGGGCCGAGACTCCACTGCCGCTACCCTCAACTTCCCTTGCTGCAGCCTGAGCCCATTGCTCCTGGTTCTGCACCTGCCCCACGGAGAACAGCCCAGCGCCAGCCTCTTTGCAGCCCCCCTGCAGGGAGGTGAAGGCTGCTATTCAGTCCCCACTTAGTCTTCTCTTCTCCAGACTAAATAAGCCCAGTTCCCTCCACCCTTCTTCACCAGTCCTGTCCCCCAGCCCCTGAACCATTTTCGTTGCCCTCCACTGGACTCTCTCCAACTTGTCCACATCCTTTCTGCAGTGGGGGCCACAGCTGGACACAGGACTCCAGATGTGGCCTCCCCAGTGCTGAATAGAGGGGAAGAACTGATCCCTCGACCTACTGGCAAATGCTCCTGTGCAACTCAGTATGCCGGTAGCCTTCCTGGCACCCAGGGCACACTGCTGGCTCCTGTTCATCTTCTTGTCCCCTGTCCCCAGGTCCTTTTCTGCCGAGCTGCTGCCCAGCCCATGGGTCCCCAGTGCAGCTAAGCCGCAGCTCTGCACAAAAGGACCTGGGGGTGGCAGAGGACAGGAAGATGAATATCTTGCTCTTGTATCCTGTAGCGGCAGAGTGGAGGCGAGAGGAAGAGCGAGCTGGGTCTCACCTGGGTTTCCGCCCCCCGCTTGCTCCTCTCCCCCCTGCAGCCTCCAGCGTTCAAGATCTAGGAAGCCGTGATGCAGAGGTCACGGCCCTCGCTGCCCTGTTCAATAGCTCCTGCTGCCCCTTTCCTCCAAGAACATGTCCCCTCCCTTCTGTCAGTGCCTAGGCAAGGAGCCAGGGGGACGAACAGGCCATGGAGGGCTAAAGCCACACTGGCCACCTTTCTCCTCTGCTCCCGGGCTGGCGGCACAGCCTCAGCCCAGGCTCCATCAGTGCTGTGCTTCGCCAAGGGAGCTTCGCTCAGTTGATGTTGGCATTGGCTCGAGACTTGGCAGCCTGGAAGCAAAGGTCCCAAAACAAGCCTCCCTTTCACTTCGAGGCTGCTGGTGCAAACACTGGCTGCGGCGGGAGCAGGAGCCCCTCCAGCTGCACTAGGACGTGGCCAGCAGGCTAAGGGGACCCCACGTGACACGGGGCAGCATGGGCCCTGCCAGCCCACTCCAGGGTGTATCCGTATGTGGCAGCCTCAATGCTGAATCCTTTTCACGTCCGTCACAGCCCGCCACACTCTACCCTGCCCAGCTCCCACGACCCCTGTGCCTGGGCACAAGCAGATCCTAGGGCATCGTGCATGGGCTGCAGCAAGGACTCTCCTGTACTAGGTAGGCCAAGGGCACAGTAAAAGTGATCCGGAGCAAGAATAGCCATCGGAGCCAACGGCACCTGCCTAGCCCCCTGCAGACCTTGGCTCTTAAAGGAATGCAGCTGGCAGTGTGGCTATTAGCCAGCTAGAGGTAATTAAAGCAATCAGAAGGTGGGAGGGATGACTATTGTGGCTCCCAGTGCAAAGTTGACACGTATCACGGGAGTGCAGGAAGGTGAGGCAGCCTTTCCTGACAAATGTCAGCTCTCGGGGTGTAGAACAAAGCCAGAGCCCGTGTCTGCATCACCATGGTTACGTGTCATCAATATAAGCAATTAATCATAGTGTCACTCACCCTCGCTGCCACCCCCTGTGGGCGGCCTCCGCGCAGGTAGAAACAAACCTCATTTCACCTCTTACTGAAATGCAGCAACCTCTGGGGAGGGACACAGCCGCTGCGCCTTACTTTGCTTGATCTGCATGGCACACGTTGTAAGGACAAGCAGAGAAGGTCAGAGCCCACCGGAGCAGTGGCCCGAGGCATTGGGGTAGGAATACAGGTGCTGTGGCTGTAGCCTACCCAGGACTTCCTGCACTGATGCAGTTAAAAATGTTCCCATTTAAACTGGAGCCCTGGATCTCAGTCACCTCCTGGATGGGAGCAGTTCACGCCCTCCTAGGAGCTATTGTTTTGGGGTGGCCCAGGAAATCACCGGCTGCAATTTGGTGCTCAGCCTCCACAGATCTGCTACTGCTGATCCACCCAGGGTCAGCCCGAGACAGCTGCTCCTGTCTCTGGAGCTGTAGGGCCAGGGGTCTCATCCTGGCTCCTTGGCTTTCGCCTCGTTCCACCTAGCTCCAAAGTATATGTCTGTCTGCGTCCCTCAGCAGCGTGCAAAACACTCAGGCTCCCAGCTGGGACAAATCCAATGATTTTTTGGAGGCAGCTTGCTGCAGACCTGGTTGGCAACGGCATGGTTTTGTGTTAGACACAAGATGCAGCGCTGCGCGGATGCATCCCTCCGTGGGCATCAGAAGGCTCCTGGGGAGATGCAGGTGACAGCGCCTGATCTGGGAGCTGCACTGCATGGAGAACCATGGCTTTGAACCAGAAGGTCAAGGCTGCAGGGGGAGGAGCGGGAGACAGGCTTCAGTGAGATCTGAGCTCCCCGCAGCCCCTCTTAGGCTGCAGTGGAGGGCTGCCATCTCTAGCTCCAGAGCAGGCCCCTTCTCCCGGGGAGGGAACATCCCCAGGTAATCCTAGGTTGTTAGCACCCCATCCAGGCCCTTGCTCCTGCTCCAGTGGATTCCTGTAGCCTGGGCTCAGCTGGAAGTCTGTTGCTGAACTGCCTGCAACAGGCCTAGCTGGATTCCTTCCCAGACAGTCTCCACTGAGCAGGGAGGTAGGGGCCATACGAGCCCCAGCTTGCCAGGCTTCCTCCATCACCACCCGGCCTGCCCCTTGGAGCTGGGGAAGCAGGTGAGCTGCTTCCTGTGCAATCTGGGTGTCAGAGGACAGAGTCCTGTGTCACTTGACGTGCCACGCACAGCAGGTTTCCAGTCACGTGCTGCCACAGTTAGCCCTGATGCATGGTTTGCAATCCTAAATCCACGTGCAGCGTGGATGTGAATACCCACATAGCTCCACCCGCATGGCTCCATGCTAAGAGCCCACACGGCTACCCGGGAGGTTGTGCTCTGGCTTGTGCATGTGGGCAAGTGAAGCCACTGACTAGTAGCCAGGCAAAAACCTCATGGCTAGCGCAGGGGGGGCAGGCTGGCTGATGTTTCAGTCCAGTGACCTATTAGCAAGGGCACTTTACTGGGTTCAAGGCTCCCCTCATTCAGAGGGGTTGGAGGCTGCAGCTCTCCAGCTCCCCTATTACCATACTCAAGCATTAGGCTGCAGGTCAGGGATTATCCAGACCCCTCTCTGCTGCTCTCCTGGCAGCCAAGAGTGGGATGTGAGGCCAGGAAGAAGACAACAGGAGTTGTTGGGTTTTTTTTTAAAATTTCATGTCTGGAGCCAAATCGGTTCCAAATTCTCTCGACGGAGCAGAGCTCAGCTGCTGAAGTCTGTGTGGCGCCACCCTCCTGCGGCTTCAGATCCTCCCAAACCCATGGCAGGCATCCTGTGTGCAAGCCTCCAGCCCAGAGGCCTTGGCATTCAGATGTCCCCTAGTCTCACTTGCCCTCGTCCAAAAGGCCACAGGAGCAGGCTGGAGAGAGAGCCCGACAGCAATCCCCCACCCCCTTAAATTGTGTAGCCGAGATCCTCGCACTTGGAGGCATTTATAGGCTCAGCCTGCCCGCGGTGCAAGGGACAGGCCTTCGCCTTGCAACTGCACTGGGTCATTCAGGGCTGGGAAGAAGGGGGTCTCCACTGCCAGGTCAGTAAAACCATCCTGGGATCTCCCCTGCCAGTTTAAGAAGACAAGACTGAGGGTGTGTGGTTCAGGGAGGGGGATGCTGTCCTGGGAAGAGCAGGGCTGGGTGTTTAACCTGCAGCCCTGGATAGAAACCCCCCTGCACTGCCCTCCATCCCTGCCAGCCAGACTGCTACGTGCAAGGGGCAATGGCTTGGCTTCAGGAGGGGCCTGGATGACGGGTGCCAGTTGGAGCCCGGTGCTGGGAAGTTGGGGAGAGGTGCATACATGGGTTAGGGGGCCTCGAGCCTGTTTCCCACGTCCTGAGCAAACGCCCTGACTACTAAGCTGCTGGCTTGAAGCAGGAAGACCCTCCGCAATTTCAGGACGTGCCCAGCCAGAGCTGTAGCAAATCCTCCTTTGCTGCAAGGGCGCTCGCACATCCGTGCTGCACAGGGAGCAGGACTGCAAACAAACGTGGCGGTTGCACGCTTGGGAAGTGCCATCCGGGCATGTCAAGTGAAACAGAAATGTGCCCTCGGCTCCCAGGTCCCTTCCCTGCCCATGGTCAGGAGTGGGAAGGGAGGGAGACGAATGCCGGAGATAGTGTAGGACTGGCTGCTGCAAAGTATCTGAGATGCCTGCAAATGAGAGAGGAAGAGCTCTGCTTGGCTTGCAACGGGAGCCCACGAGATAAGGGAACCCAGGGACGTCCAGCTTGGAAGTGTCAGCCACCTGCCTCCCCGACCATCCCTGGGGCTGCTTCTGCTCCCCGCACCGCTGAGCCTCTCCGGTCCGGGGGGATAGAAATCTAAAGAATACGAACAACAGAGCGCAGGCAAATGTCTCGTAAAGGATATAAATGAGAGAGAGACGCAGCACCGGCTAAGCCCCAGGACCCGGCTGATCCAGACATAGGGCTAGGAGCTGGCTCGTGCATAACTTCTGTACCTGGAGTCAATTGATTGCCAATTAACTCCGTGTAGTTAACTGGTTTCTCGCGGCTGGTGCGAAGCCTCCCCTCAGGTTACAACCGTTTGTTCTCTGCTACACCAGCCTTTACAAATATGATTACTGCCTTGACTAAACTGGTGAGAGGCTCGCTCCGGGCACCGGAGTCTAATTAGGAGAGACTGTGTCTGTGCGCGCGCGCGTGTAAGAGAAATCAGCGTGTGCACACGCGTGTGTAAAAGAACACGTGTGTGTAAAAAGTGTGCACGTGTGTGCGTAAGAGGAATCAGTGTATGCGTGTGCGTGTAAGAGAAATCAGCGTGCACTTCTTTGAGGATCTATTAGGTGCTCACGTGTGCAACTGTGAACATTCAGCATCCATCATCTCCGCTGGAGCCGAAGGGGAGGTCTGCACTGGATGCTCACGCAGCTTCTCTCCCCTGATCAGATGACTCTTCAAATCCGATTTTTGGGGTCTGCTTTAATTGTTCTTCCCTCCCCTCCCCTCCCGACGCTTCCCCTACTCCAGCAAGGGCCATTAGCCATGCACAGGCTTTTCTGGTGACCCGACTGAGCAGCAAAGTGGACGTGTCTTCTCAACACCCCGTTCTACAGTGGTGGAAATGAGGCAACGATTAATGGGGTGACTTGCCCAAGGCTAAAGTGGGAGTCAGCAGCAGGGCCGGGACTAGATCCCATCTCCCGTGGGTCTCAGCATCACCAGAAAGCTCAGATGTGGGGTCGGGAAGGGAAATGGCCAGATGCTGGGTGAACGGGACATGGCAGCCTGGCAAAGCATGTGATAGCCCCCCCGACAAAGTCTCCGTGCTTGGAAAAGATGCTCACGCTGAGTCCGCACATGAACAGCCCCCAGGAGCTGGCGCAGAGCTGAGCTCCGGGCATTTTGCAATGGACCAAATTAAGTAGGATATTTCAGGAAGCACCTGGGGGCAGCGGCAGGGGAGCTGAGCACAGTCCGTCTCTGCAAAATGTCATTTGTGAAAGGCTAACGACAGCCCCGGTCCAGCGACTGACTGCACGAGCGGTTGCTCCCACCCTGCCACGGGACTCGGCGCACGGCCGCCCACCCGGGGAGGGAAGAGCTGGGGAGACGCAGATACTCAAAGCTCGGGCAGAGAGAGGAGGTCCTGCTTGCGGGCTGCGGCAGGGAGGGCAGGGACGGTGCAGCGCTCTGCCGAGTCTGAGCTGACAACCCATATCTGGGAGTGGGGATCGGGGAGCCCACGTCACGGAGTTGCACCACGGAGACACAGCATCCGGGGGTCACCAAGCACTGCTCAGGACCTTTGCCAGGGCTGAGCTCCCAAGGTGCCAAGGTGATGTAAAGCACTGCAGGGAGTTTGGAGACGGACGTGGACTGCTTTACGAGGGTCGCTGCATCGGGTACAGCGGATCTGGCTCCGTGGGGCTGGGACAGAGCAGCATGTGGATCTGCCGGCCTCCAAGTGGGAAGAGGGGGTTTGATGGGGTCCGGGGGGTTACGGCGGAGACACGCACAGCAAGAAGGAAGACAAGGGCCTGCGGAGCAAGAGGAACAGCCGGGCAGGGGGCGGCGTAGGCCCGGGAACAGTCTGCCGAAGGAAGTGGTGGGACGTTAGACACGACTAATGCCCTCGGCCCAAGAACAGGCAGGCTCTGCCGGGGCTGTGGCTTTGCTGGCTGCAAGACCAGGTGGTGCAGACTGGCAGGGGCTGTGGGCACCGGTCGGGCAGCCCATCACATGCTTTGCTGGACGTGAGTTTGTTGAGCTCTCTCTCATCTGCTCCACAGAGACAGGCCAGCGTTGCATGGGGCAGCTGGGCCTGTGGGGTTGAGCCCACGGAGATGGACACATGCAGGGGGGCACCAGGAGCTGCAACGGGAACCAGGATGCAAGAGCATGCCCAGGTATTTCAAGCTACAGATTTACTACTGCCACTTCCAGGAGCCCTTGCAGGCAGGACTGAAAGGCAGTGGGGCGATGTGCGGAGAGCTGCTTCAGGGGCTCCACGACTAAGCCCAAGAGAGAAGGGAGCTTAGAGCTGGGAACCGTGACAGTGAACCCACCCCGTGCAGCCGGCAGAAGGCAAGACAAGAGAGGCCAAGTCTGCAGGGGAGACGGCTGGATGGAGAGGCATGGGAAGGTTTCAGCATAGCCCAAGGATGGGGGGAAAGAGCCCGGGTCTTGCAAACCTCTGCTAATGGGGAGGGACCAGACATGGCACCCCCAAAGAGCGATCAGAGGAAGCCCGTCTCCAAACATCTCCTCGCCAAGCCATGGGGAGTCTTTCTACTGGCTCTGAGCCCAGCCCCTGCAGGAAGGACCCAACCACGCTGACGGTGTCGGGACAGGATGAGGCTGGCCTGGCAAAGCAAAACAAAGCAAGCAGATGAAGTGCTTGCAATAGGCCCCGGGGCTCAGAAGGGAGCGTGCACATAAATCCCCTAGGCAGCAGCCTCAAAGTGTCCTTCAATGCTAGACCTGTGTCTCCCGAGTACTCATTCTCACCCAAAAGGGACCAAAATGTGGGCCGGAGAGAGCACAGCAAGACTGGGCCAAAGCAATGCAGACTTCCCGTCTTGCAGGGGCACAGACCCGAACGCGGCAGCGATGCCCAGAGGCGGCAGTTTCACCCTCCCGCATCGGTCTGGGACAACTTCTCGCTGTCCCCTGCTCCTTCAGCCTCAGGGCCAGCCTGAATCCCCTGCCCCCTAGGTAACCACCAGCACCAAGCAGGGGCAAGGAGCCATGGGCTCCCACAGCTGCAACAGGTCCCATCCACCCCCGGAGGGTTGCCCAGCTCTGCAGCTGCCCTCATTTCCCTTGCAAATAGTGTCGGGGGCTGGAAGGCGCAGAGGGGAGGGGGATTTGGACAGCAAGGTGTGACCCAAGTGGCTCTCAGGTGCATGCAATGCCCCCTACCCTAGCGCCTTCCCTGGGAGCTGCGCTGGCACCGGGGCCCAGCAGCACAGGAGGGACTGCAGCGTGTTCCCGATGATCACCAACCATGACGTGCGGGGACCAGCCCTGCAGCCAACACTGAGCAACAGCCCCGCAGCTACAGGCCCATGCAGCCTCCCCGACCAGGAGAGACCCCATGGGGCCAGCTGAGCACCCCCAAAGCACCCGAGTGAAAAGCCAGCCCCCCAGATCCCAGCAGGCAAGCTGGAGGACAGCCAGGGTCACTGCCCTACAAGCCTACAGGAATCTCGTCCCAGGGCATCTGGGCTGGGGATACTACACCCATGACATCTCCGCACCCCCCACCAGCCGCAGAGCAGCAGCATTGATGCAGGAGATGGACACCGAGGCCTGGGGAGGGAAAGGGACTTGCCCAAGGCTGCACAGCAAGTCAGTGGCAGGACTGGGAGTGCGACTCTGTGGCCCTGCCTCTCAGCCATGCATCCTGTGTGGAAAGGGGGGGCAATCCCTCCCCCGATGACCTGGAGCTTCTTCCCGATGGGTGAACGGATCAGGCCCCTGGCACGATCGTGACTGGGAGTACGGGTGTCGTGGGCGCTATGCAGAGGTGATTCATCCTGCGGGGTGGAAAAGCTGGGCAGCCCCTTACCTTAGGGTGGCGGGGAGCAGTGTGGGGGGGAGCAGAGTCCACCCGGGGCAGCTCTACGGCGTGTGAGAAGTGCTGACTCGGCCCATTGTTCTTCCTGCAAGAGAAGAGAGACGCGGGTCACTGTCCAGCCCCTGCAGCCTGGGGTGGTCGAGGGCCCGGGGCATTCAGCAGGCCCCGGGCAGAGGCTGCCTATGGAGATGGGCCACACGACCACGATCCCCAGGCTACGCCGAGAACAGCGCCTGGGCGAGGAGGACGCCGGGCTGCAGCGGGCCAGCCTTCCTCTGCCGCAACCCCCGTGGACAGGAGCCCCTGCAGCGGAAAGCAGCAGTGCAGGCGGCTGGTCCAGTGCAACCGGAGCCACGCTGCCCGCTGCATCGGGTAGTAGCGGGCGAACGGGGCGGCTAATAGATTGGCGCTACCGGGAGATGCAGCCGCGGGGAGAGCCGTTCATTGCCGAGACAGCTGGCTGCCGTGTGACAAGGGGCTCCAGACAGCCCCTCCACACCGCTCCAAGGGGCAGGAGCGGGCACGGGACAGAAATAACCCCCAGCCTCCGAGACCCCTGCAGCAACCAGAGCTGCCGGTCTCTGGTGCAAAGCTGGACACCCCAGGGATGCTCTGGATCCTAGGGCGGTGGCGGAGGCTGTCCCCAGCCTGAAGAGCACCGTGCCCGCCGGCAGTGTTTACCTTCCCCTCCCTTGGGCAACAGCCACGCGGGCTGCTCCAGAGGCACCTGGACAAAGGGCGAGCTCCCAGCAAGGGTCCTGCTCTGCTCTCAGGGGACGAATCCTGCTTTATACCAGAATCCGGTTTTACACCAGGCTGCGGTTTGCCCAGGGGTGCGAGTAGCCCTGGCAGGGTACCGCCAGGGTGAGCGCCCCCTGCGCCAGGTGCTGTATGCACAGACAGGTCCCATCATGAAAAGCTTATGCTCTAGCTAGGCTAGATGGGCCCAGGAGGGGAAAGTGAGGCACGGCGAGGTGAAGTGACATGCCCAGGGCACTGAACCCACTGTCTGGGACCCAGAGCTGTGTTACCCGCCACAGCAGGGACCAGAGCTGTGCCCCCCCAGCCACCCCCTGCCCCACAGTGCCTCTGGCAACTGCCCCAGCCTGCGACTGAGAGCCAGGGCAGGCATGTGCCCCCATCCCCGCTCGGCCCAGGGCCACAGCACAGCCAGCAAGGCCAGCACAGGTACGTGAACTGCCTGCAGCCGTCTCCAGCCCTGGATCTGCCTGGATCCCAGCGGGAGGCAGCCACGCAGCAAAGCCCCATGCTCCCGTGGCCGGCGGGGCTGCGTCTGCGAGCGGGAGCAGTCTGGGATCTTTCGCGGGCACCGCGCTCGCCATCTGGGGACTCCCCGCTGATTTGCAATTAAGCCGGAAGATTGGGATGACCCAGAGGCCAGCGAGCTCTGCCTGGCACGAGCGTGCGGCACCAGCATGGCGTCAGAGCCGCTCGCGCGGTAGCTCCTATGTGACAGGTGGGGAAACCGAGGCACAGCCAGGGGAAGGCCTGGATCTCAGTCGCACAGGCCGGGCCAGAACCCAGCTGTTTGGAGGTCATGGACCTACGACACTTTTACAGACCTTGGCAGGGAGACCTAGACCAGGGGAGGGGTCAGATGCATGTCCCACACCCACCCCAGGCCCAAATCCACGCAGCCAGGTCTCTGCATGTTGCAGGCAGGTGCCCGGAGCATCCCGGGTGCAGCCACCATTTCCAGCTGTGCCCGAAACCATCCATGCGGCGGGAGCTTGGCGCCCTCCCCTGGGCTCAGCAGGCCTATGGCGAGGGCAGAGCTGGCCCCTGCGAGCATCACACAGTGCAAAGCAGAGCTGACCAAGGAGCCATTTCACCCCACAGAGTGGTCTCGGGGGCAGCTCAGCCGGGCATTGCCCAGGCCCCCCTGGCTGTCACCCCAGGGGCACACGGGGACTGTATCCTCTCTCCAGCTGGAAAGCAACTCGCGGGTCCCGGTAGATGTCAGGGATCCGTGAGCCCAGCTGGAGACGGGGAGGCATGTGATGGGCACGCACATGCTGCTGTGCTCTGCCGAAGCCCCTCGAGGCTGCCCCCAGCTCGGGTGCCCTGCTGCGACTCCAGACCGTGGCTCTGCCACGCAGATGTCTTCCCTGGGCATCCCACAGCAGCTGCAGTCAGGTCCCTCTTGTGCAAAACCAGGGTGGGTGCACCGAGGGGCTGTACCCACAGGGCAAATGCCCTGGCCGCTGTGTGCCGTCCTCCTCCCCCGTGCCACTTCCCAGGACCTCCTTGCACGCAGCAGCCACGCATCAGAGGAGCTTGTGAGCATGCAAAACCTCTCTGCTCTGCCAGAGAAGGCTGTGCTGAAGCGATTGTTAGCATGCCCGAGGGGCTCCGTGCCAGCCCCGCGCCCCCCCGCACGCACACATGCGCTCCACAGATGCATGGAGGCGAGCAGCCCCGTGGAGCAGGCGGGCAGAAGAACGCACTTCCCCAGCGCTTCTCCCTAGCAGAGCAGAGGCCATTTGCACGACTGCAACTGGAGCCAGGCCACGGAGCCGTGGGGTGCCGCACGCACCCCACAACCACAACCCCAGGCGGCATCGCTCAGATCCACAGCCACGTGGCAGCCCCGAAACAACCCAGTGCTGAAGCTGCCCAGCACTGAAGCAAGCATGGTGCTGAGGCAGTGGTGCCCAACACGCCAGTGCAAACATGCAAGCCCTGGCTGCCCTCGGCCACAAAGTACCAGAGCTGCGAGCCCAACGCCACAATGCCGTGCCCACGGGATGGGGGCACAGGAGCAATTCGAGCCCCCGGTGCTCGCTGGCGGGGCTGGACTGTGACGCTACAGAGCCGCAGCAGAGGGGCAATGCCCAGCCCTGAAACCAAATGGTCCTGGCAGAGCTCGCTGCTCCTCGCCCCCGCAGCCTGGAGCAGGGCCTGTTTTGCAGCCCGGGTCCTGCTTGCTGAGCCCGGCGGGCAAAAGGGCGCTGCACTGTACGGTGCAGACGTTGCAGAGATGGAGGGGCTGTGGGGTGAAGCCTCCCTGCCACCCCGATCTCCAGCTGACAGGAGCTCCTGCCCCTGCCCCAGTGCCTCACCAGCACCCCCAAGGCGGGCAAAGGGGAGAGACCCCGCATGGTGCCACGGCTCAGCCCGCAATGCACCAGGTCACCCCTGTCTCAGTCCTGTGCGCAGGGAGGTCTGTGGGCTTCTGGGGGGCACTGAACACTAACCACTAGGCCAGCTGGTGGCTAAGCACTGATCCAGGGCCCCGGGCTGGGGGTTAAGACCAGGGCCAGGTTCCCGCTGAACTACAGATGCGGGGGCCACAACCCTGGGATGACCCTGGGGCCTGGCCCTGTCCCTCCGACTGGCATCTGGACAGCAGGACGGGGCCAGAGCGCTCCACGGAGACATGGCCCCATGTCCCTGCCCCTCCCAGCTCTGGACCTGGGGGCAGCCCCCCGCCGGACCGTGTCGTGACCCTGTCCATCCTGCTGCAAAGGATGCGGGAACAAGGAAAGACTCCCAGCAAGGCCCCGGCTGGGATGGGCAGTGGGGAGGGCCGGGAGGGGCATCACTTGCCCGTGCAGCGAGGGTCCCACCTGCCCCCAGGCTGCAGAGCGGAGCAGGGTGGGCTTGGCAGTCCCCTGCAGCCCAGGGGGTGGGAGCAGGGGGTGCCCGGCTGCTAAGGGCATGGGGGGGGGGGACAGGAGGGGCAGGGTGCCCCCGATCCCTCCCTTCCAGATGCCCATCATCACAGTTTCGGGTGCCCCAAGCAGGGAGGGGGGTAACCTGGCATCTCCCCCCAGCAGCGCCCACCCCAGCCGCACCCCTCGCGGAGCTCACGTACCCGCAGCCGCAGCCAGCCCCAGCCCCGGCGCTCCGGTCCCTGGCAAGGAGCTCCGCCCCAGGCACGGGGATGCTGGCAGCCGCTCCGCCTTCCTCCGAGGGGCGGGGGACCCGAGAAGGGATGCTCTTGGGCACGGAGAGCCGCCTGCTCCGGGGACAGCTCCTCCTGCTCTGCATTCAAGAGACCCCTGGGGACAGGGGTTTGCTCAGATCCTCGAGACCCCCGGGATCTCCGGGCTGCCAGCTGCTGTGCCCGCAGTGAAGGGGGTGCAGGGCGAGGGGCTGGGCCATGCTGCAGGCATAGGGCTGCAAGGGGGGGGGGATCTGTACCCCATCCCCTTGTTATGGTCACCACGGCTGGTAAACCCCCGAGTGACCGCTTCCCTCCCCAATGCCCTGCAAGCCCAAGACGTCCGTCACCCCGTCCTGGAGCCAGGCCCAGCTCCTGGGCAGGATACCTGCTTTCCCCAAACATCACTGGGGGTAAAACACAGGCTGGATCCTCCCTGCACTGCCCACGGGGCTCCCGGACAGACTCTTGTGTGCAGGGAAAGGCGCCGGGGGGGGGTTTATTTTGCTGTTAAGCTGCATTTGCGATGAGAAGGCTCCAGTGATCTCCGCGCCCCGGACCCCTGAAGCACCCCTGCTTTTTACTGGCAACGGCAGCCTTTGCTTCCCATCTTACACTGCTACGACGCCCCCGGCTGTGCCATTCGCCTGAGACTCCTGGACTCAAGCCCAAGCCGGCAGCTTGCGCGGAAGAGCCGGCACCACGAGCGCGGAGGCAGTGACGGGCTCCGACTGGGCCTGGACCCTGGAGCGGGGCAAGAAGCCACGCGGGACTGACACGGAGGACCCGGCGCGCTATTAAACAGCAGCCATGTTCCACCCCAGAACGGGCTGCATTTTGGCAGGGGGAGACGATTAGCTTGTGCACTGTGTGCATCGAACTGCATGAGTTTCTTAGGGCTTGGATTAAAGCCCTTTGCAATGGAAGACTGCAAGACCCGACTCTTCTGCCCTCACCTGAGGTCCTGCAAGGAACTCCTTTGGGGTTACGCGAGTCTGGGCCAGTTGTATTATGAATGTCCCACCCTACAGCACCCTTTCCCCTGAGGTCTGAGTGGTCTCTCTCTGCCCCGGCCCCCATCGCACTCCCGGCCACTATGACTCGCTGCACTAGGAGGTATCCCCTGGCTCCCTGCCCGGCACCCTTGTATGCAGACAGGCAGCTCCGAAGTGTCTCGT